GCTGTGGGACATATACATTTCCTTCATGAGAAAGAGTGCAAACATTACTTTTAATAATTTGTTCTTCAATAGTTGTCATTTTTGATTACATCAAAATATTATCAAATATTATATACGGATTGTACATGAAAAAATTCAGAAAACATAAAAATGTATTCCTAAAATAAATTTATGATTCATTAATCTTTTACTAAACAATTGAACATTCATTAATATACTATATATGTGTATGTTTCGTATTCGTAACTTGTAAAATTAGAAACAAACGCCATCTGTTGTAAATTCTCGGAATAAGTACCCTACGAGCAAAATCGACTACCGTTGTGAGAAAAGCGATTGGTGTGCCCCCCCCCTTGACCACACAAGTCACTAAACTTCTACCATACTTACATGAAAGAACCACATTTAGTTTAACATTTATTTCAGTACTCGACAAGCAGCCAAATTTACGCGTTTGAACGTTTGAGGGTAAAAGCGAGGTATTTTATTGCGAGTGAAATGGGTAATAAACACAATTGGTCATCAGTCTGTTCACAACCAACGTGTATCGGTCATTGTTCAGTGGCGCTATCGTTGCCCATTGAACACTGATCTATATACTATGGACAGGTATTGTCATAAGCCACCTACACCGCTGCTGAAGCGATTTAATACTGGCTATATATGCCAGTGCGAAGTTTCAAAAATTGAATTAATAAAAACATAAAAATATTAATATAATATAATGATATATTATATTATATATATGATACAGTAGAGTAATATAATACGGTCTACTTATGAGAGGGTTGAAATTAGTAGTTGAATTAGTAGCTGCGCGATTCCTTTTACACTTTTAAAGTCTAGAGAGTGGGGATGTGGTATTCCGGAAAGTGGTCGACCTTTGCGGGTATCAGGCGTATCTATTTACATATGCACCCGTCACTTTGTTTTCTCGACAGAATTGAAATGTTTTTGCCGGCTAATTATATTAGGTTGTCCTGTAAATTCGTAGCATTTTTAATTCTATATTTTTTAATATTTGACTTTCTTTTGCTAAAAAATCATGAAATTGACTGACACATGCCGAAAACTTATCTACAGAAACTATGATCTATCAGTCAATTTCATGGTTTCTTATCAAAACAAAGTCAAATATTAAAAAGTAAAGAATTAGAAACGCTACAAATTTACAGGACTTCTTGCAACTTTGTAATATTTCATTAGGAAAATATGAAATGCGGTTACTTAGCATATAAAATGCCGACTGTTTGACGCGACATCAAAGAAGCCAACACGACGAAGTGACCATACTGGTTCTATCTACCCAGTTCTACCTTCTACCCATTCTACCTATACTGTGTCCTGATCTGATTGTGATTCGAATCAATTCAAATCATTCGAATTCAAAATGTGGATAATATGCTTGTTGTGTGTACTTTTTTCAATTTTATTTATAGTTAGGAAGTTATATTTAAAAAAATATACAGTACATAAAAATGTCTGTGTTGTTGTTCTTGGAGATTTAGGTAGAAGTCCTAGAATGCAATATCATGTAATGTCATTTGCAAGAGAAGGTTTTACAGTAGATTTTATAGGTTATTCCGGTTCATGTCCATTAAAAGAAATACGTGAAAATGCTCATATACGTATTTACTATCTTCCACCTCCGCCAGATATATGCAACAGTTAGTTTACAAATTTATTACAAACTCGTAGCATTACGAATTTTTATATTAATAATCAAATCTAATTAACATATGTTCCATCGGAAGATTCTGTATACATAAGAAATAAATCGATCCTATTGACACATTTGAAGCATACACGTTTTTTAAATTTCAGATTTTCCTACTCTTCTGCGTTACATTATAAAAACTTTGTGGCAAACTATTACTCTTTTATGGGTCTTACTACAGAAAAACATATCAACTCATTTATTGCTACAGAATCCACCAGCAATACCAACATTTCCAATCTGTTGGTTTTATTGCTTTATAACAGATTCACAACTTGTGATTGATTGGCATAATTATGCACATACTCTTATGGCATTAAATTTGAAAAACGATCATTTATTAGTAAAATTTTCAAAAATAATTGAAATGTTTTTCGGTTCTAAAGCACAAAGTAATTTTTGTGTTTCAAAAGCATTAAAAGAGGACTTACAAGAAAAATGGAATATCAAGTTAGTATTTTTAATTATGCTCTTCACTTTTAGCTATGATACTTAATAATTTCTTTTTATTTAGGGCCAAAGTATTATATGATCGCCCACCAAATAAATTTCATTGCATATCATTAATAGAGAAACATACATTTTTATTAAAATTAAGTGAAAAATATAATGTATTTAAAGGTCTAGGAGAAAACTCGACTATTTTTACAGAATATATATCAAATGAAGTACATTTGAAATCTAAACGACCTGGCTTTATTGTATCTAGTACCAGTTGGACTGAAGATGAAGATTTCTCTATATTATTAAATGCACTGCAAGGTATTTCAAATGTTACTTTATAATGATCCAAGGTAACTGTATACACAAAATATATTTTAAAAAACCCAATATTTTTCTATCAGTTTTTACTCGAAAGTTTATATTTATGTTTCAGACTATGAAAATGCAGTCAATAAAAATATTTGGAATCTTCCTAATTTAATTTGTGTAATAACTGGAAAAGGTCACTTAAAAGAATTTTATATGGCTATAATAAAATTGAAGAATTGGAACCACATTATAATTCTAACACCATGGCTTGAAAGCGAAGATTATCCTAAGATGTTAGGTAATAAATATATTACAGTGTGGGGCACCTAAAACCTTTAAAAACTTCAGAAAACTTTGAAACATACTGATTAATTCTTTTTGCTGCCTATTGCCATGACCTATTAGGGGTCCTGATGATCACTTTTTGATGAACAATTTTTTAAATACTATGTAACTTCTTGTTCATTTAAGTAGGATGTAGAGAATCAAATAATATTTATAAAAAATACCTTGTATGAAAGTTACTACATCCACTAACATTCTAAAAAATATTGTAACTTATATCATGCTATGGATTCAGTGTAAACAAATTTTTACTGACTTTTTGTATGTTATATGCATATAGTATAGAATTTATTGTTTATATGTAGCCAGTGCAGATTTAGGTATTTGTCTTCATACTTCGTCTAGTGGTATGGATTTACCAATGAAGGTTGTGGATATGTTTGGATGTGAACTTCCAGTTTGTGCATACAACTTTAAATGGTAGGTAACTTAAAAAGTTTTACTTCTTACAGTATCTTGATAACAATATTTGTTACTTTCTTCAGTTTTATAACTGATTGTCCCTATTACGTCTTATGTTTTCTGTTAAAAGATTTAACTATAATGTGTTTATTTTTCAGTTTATTAGAACTTGTTAAACATAATGAAAATGGCATGGTCTTTTCAAATTATCAAGAATTAGCTGCACAATTAAAGTCATGGTTTGAAAACTTTCCTAACAATGCTACTCAACATGAAATGAATGAGAGATTCCGAAAGGAACTTCACAAGTTTCAAGAAAATCGATGGCACGACAATTGGACTTCCACTGTGTTATCTTATTTTAACGAATGACTTATAAATTGTTTGAAAATTGTGTATGATTACAATACTTATTTATGGTATTTACAATCATTACTGTTTACTAAAATATATTAAAGATTCATTTCTTTATGTGCAACTTTTTTTCAATAGAAAAAGTGTAGCACAATGCCTATTATAATGTTTGGTACTTAACATGGCTAAACATTCGATGCAGGTCTTGCAATATAGTCTATGTATGTAGGTTATAAATTGACCTGGGTTAGTTAGCCTGGGTTGTGTTGCAAGACTTGCTGCAAATTTGCTTCACCATTTTGTCAAGAGGGCTTTTTCTGCAAAACCCAAGTCTAATGCGGAAACAGATGGCTATGGTGTTAAGACGAATTTTGTCATTATTTGCTGGTAATTAGCTTGAAACTTGCATACATCTGGTTATCAGAGTGATGACTAGTAATCCGTGCCCCAGAATCTCTGAGAAATAAAGATTTCACTTAAAATCGAAGCATTACTTAGTACAAAGTTCCAAACAAATGGGTGTATGTTTATGTTTTTTTATTATTTTAACATTATCAATATCACTATCCTCTTTGATTTCAATTATTTCTTCGCCCACGTTAACGGTATTATAATCACAAGAATGTCTTTTTGGAGCTACAAATTCTTTATCTAAACTAAATGACATAGCTCTACCTTTTTTTGATGCTTCAGCTGTCCATTTGGACAATTTTTTGAAAAAATGAAATAACATGATTTTTACTAATATGGCCATCTAAAATGTATATTTTGAATCACATATAACTTTTCATATTGCACGTAAATCTGAAAAAAATATTGACGCTTTCTTAAAAAGAGAAATTTAATAAAATGCGACATTTTATAATAAATAATTCCATTACAAATACTTACATCATATGCATTTGTAAATCTATTTACAATTTTATATCATATATATATATATATATATTTACAATGTTATATGTACATAAAAAAAGTATTTAAATATGTAAATTAGTAGAGCTTAAATTTCTGACCAGGGTATGAAAATTATTAACATAAATAACTTAAAATAACCTTCATGTTAATACACTGTATATATGTATACATTAATAATGAGAGATGTGTAAATTCATAATTAAATCATTAGTCATAATTGAAAATTATGATTTCGTATAAACTAAAAGACTCAGATACATCTACAAAAAATTATTATAAAGAAGATGACACTGCTGTAAGAATAACTTATTTATTATAAACTAATTGTACAATGATCAAAGCAAAAAATGTAATTATCTTTTTGTCCATATTTTCAAATGGAAGAAATCCATTCTATCAATTAGAGATTAGATATAATAAAATGAAGAAAATATTTAGTGTCATAATGTATATTGGATATTACTAATTTCAGATTGTTTATCAGTTTTGGCTTTTAATACAAAAAAATGATAAAGTACTTTGATTGCTTTAAAGTTCTTCATCCAAGTCAAATTCTTCTTCTGGAAAATCTCCTACTTTTACATGCAATGGTTTTACAAATCCACCATATTTTGGTAAACACTCGAAATACTTTTTACCATTGACACTACAATGAAAAACATATAAAACTAAATGTATGTACATAAAAATATAAAGAAATACAAAACAATAACTGATCTTACGTTCCATCATTTTTGCCACGCGGTTCATCGTATTTTACTCCGATCCACCAACCTTCCTTAAATTCTGTTTTACCTATAAATGAGACGAATTGAATACAAACTATTCTACTTACAACTATATACAAACTATTCTACTTACCAGCATACATGATAGTAGCTCTTCGTTTTGGTTGATTTGGTACAGAAACTTCACAACGACTACCAACATGGCATAACTGAACTGCTGCTGCTTCTGCTTCCTCTTGTTTCTTTCTTTCTGCTTTCCTTTCCACTTCTTCTTTATTATACTTTCCTAATTTATTTTTTTCTAAGAATGCTTTTACAGTATCTAAAACATTAAACGATTGTACATGATCATATAATTATGTAATTTAGGTATATTAGGTTTGTCAGTTTAGTTCTATCATTTTTAAATTCATTTGCTGATCCCAAAATGGAAAATCTTTATGCAAAAAGCATTGACAAACTGTCAGAACTATGAAATATAGTAGTATAAAATAGCAATCATTATACTGCAGATTAATGTTAAAATAAACGTATAAATTTTAATTCTATTCGATATTGAATGAAGTGTGTGTAAATATGTGTAATCACACGTAATTTATAATGTATTTAAACTATTTCACCTGTTCTTTTAGCATATTCTTCTTCAGATATCTCGAATTTTTCAACATCGTTCAGATTTTCTTGAGTACGAGAGAAATTATCAACTACCTAAAATTTAACACACAGTTACATTATCATTATTGCTATATATAAATAAATAATAGAAGTTTCTATTTTTGATAGAAAGAAAAAAGTAATAATTTTCTTTTACAAGTATATGCATTCCATCATCAATAGGGTATGATCCTAAAAGCCGTTGGCCATCACTGAGTGTACAAATTAATTTATCATTCCGATCATATACTTCAACTACCATTGTAGCTGGATTACCACCAGTAATGAGCTCCAATTTGCCCTGTCACATAATGACACAACAATATATAATAATACGAATAATTAAAACGGAATATATATAATCAATATAAAAACGTTCTTACCTTAAATTCATCAATCGTTATTCCTTTTTGAAATCTTCGTTCCACATAATGTCGATTAGAAGTAGTGATGGATAAATTTACAAAATCTGACGTTACTACACTATAAGTACTCATTTTTGCTTGAAGTAGCTAGAAGTTATTATATATTTTTTATTTAGTTTTCAAATGGTATGCTTTGTATACAATGGTGTACGATAGGTTACTCAAGTCAACACCAGTGAAGCACAGTGAAGTGCAGTCAGTGCCATGCAGTGCCAGTTAGTGCAGTGAAGTTTAGCGAAGTGATGTGAAGTGATGCAGATGCAGTTGGATTATAGACATTAGAGATGGCGAGAACTGCTACTTCTGAATCACTCGTGATTCGATCACATTCGTTCCCAATCACGGTGATTTTTCACAGTGATTCGTGATTTCTCGTGATCGTTTCTGATTCGTGGAGAAACCTAACAGTTCTTTACATACGACACATAATCTGTATATTTTATATTAACGACATCAAAACAAAAATTCGAGTTATATCGTATAAAGTGAAGGAATAATTAGAAACAATGAAGAATAATGAATAAATTAATGATTATAAATTATAATCTACATGTTACCTAGCAAATCATTCTTTTAGAATTTCTTGTTTTTTCTACTGATTTTTACAAACACAAATAGTAATGTAATTCATCGTAAAATCATATTGAATACGTTTTTCTATTTAAAGATCAAGGAGCTTTGAAGACGATACGAAAGATTTGCAAGTTACAGAGGTCGGAATTATTTGCAGCATATAAGTTACAATATTTTATAAGCCTGAATAATATCTAAGCCTACTTTTTCTGCATTCATATAAATATCATTACAAGTATATTGTAAAATCATATAGATAAGTAGGATTTAAGTAAAATAAGTATCTAAGGGCATTTTTTCAATAAAAAACAGTCAAATCATACATATGCATTATTCGTTAATCCCGACACTATCTTCACTCCTATTCCTGATATTAATTAACCAAAAAAGTAATAAGAAATAAAAAATAATAACAAAATAATTAATTCTAAAACTTTTATGTTTCGGAAGAAGTTCTGGAATTAGTTCCAATTTTCGCCACCAAAGTGGTGGGGGCGCCACTAAATGTCCCATAAATTTCAAATATTTCCGGCACGTTTCTGAGTCTAAGTGGAGGCGCCAGGGACTTCGTGCGGTGAGAACGTGGGGTCATACAACCCCCGGAGATGGCGCCAGAGACCCCCGCGTGGTAATAACGTGGGGTCATGGAACCCCCGAGGTGGCGCCAGAGACCCGTGTGGCAAGAGCGTGGGGTCATAGAACCCCACAAGGTGGCGCCAGAGACTCCGCGTGGTGAGAACGTGGGGCCATAGAGCCCCCGACGATAGCACCAGATGCCCCGTGTGGTGAGAACGTGGGGTAATAGAAGTAATAGAATCCCCGGAGCATGCGCAAGAGTTTTGAAACGTGATCCTTTATCGTTGTTGCTCGTACGAGTCTCGAGCTCGATCTAATGTTGCTCGTGCAACTGTCGAAATCTGACTGACACTTGTGCATGCTTCCGTGAGCAAATTATATACATAGTAACCCCAGCAACCATGGCAGTTGCTGCAGATACTACTACAGCCCAAGTTTAAAGGACGTAGGCAGTAATTAGTTTCTGTAGTAACCTGTTGAACCAGACAACTATAATTAGTATAGGATTGTACAATATTTATGCAGTTATATTTAAGACAATTCGATGAAATGAAGCTTATATTACCTGACGTACGTTTATTGGAATATACATATATACATATAAATTATAATGATATAAAAGTTTGAAATACAATACGATGCGCTACGGTACAATACGTCTATTCGATTCAATTGCTCCCTTGCGACTACAACATCGTGCTATCCGCGTTCGGCGCAGTGCGCTAATACGGAGGTCAATGAAATATCACTGGAACACTTAAAAAAGTTTTAAAGTTCCATTTATATCATTGTCCTGTGAAAATGTTCATACTTCCAGCAGCATTCATATTCCAATCAAAGAATTTACAGAATAAGGAAAAGGAATCTAAAGTAATTTTCAGTAGTTCCATACAT